CTCCAAGACGGGGAGAGCGAAAGAGGCCCAAGATGGGAAACCGAGGCCTGGAGGAGAGTGGAGCAGCAAGAGCTTCGTGCTGAAGTCGAAACTCAGCCGAGGGCTGGATTTGGAGTGGCTGGGTCTAATTTACAGTCAGGGGTCTCTGCCGGGGTGGAGCCGCCTGCCCTGGTCATGGAGTCCCACTCACCCAGGCCCGTTCTGAGTTGCCACACTCGGAAGGTTCAGTGGCCAGGAGTAACAACATTGTGGAGTGGCCTTGGCAGCCCCTCCTGGGGCCAGGTCAGCCTCCCCTTAGAGTCCCCAGGTCAGAGAAGTGAGCCTTGGTCTCTTAGCACAGGACCTTGGTCTGCCATCTTCTGGTCTGTCTCAGTTGCCACTCTGACTCTTGGTACGTCCTGGGACCCACCGGAGATTGGGGGTTACATCCCAAGTTTCCTGGGGTCTATATGGGGCTGCCCCCATGAGAGAAAATTCACCTGGGGGCTGAGCTTCAGATGCATGACCATGCTGTTCTATCTAGTGCTCTCATTTTTCTTCGGCGGGATTGTATTTTCTTTCGGTATCTCACCTCCTTTTATACTTTCCCATTTCCGCTGCTGGTCACCGCTTTTTTCGACTTCTACATTTCATGAATACATTACTTCTGTCCTTCTGAGTCATTAATAAAGATGTTAAATAATTCTGAACCAAATATTCACCCCTGTAGGGCCCTACAGGACACTATCCTTTAATTAGTTGTGCTACCTTTCATCTCTCTAATGTCCTTTGGTTTCAGATTTCCAGCTGGTTTTGAACATGTGACTTTTTATCCAGTTCTGTTTGAACTAATTTCACCAGTGAAACTCTGAGAGATGTTTTACTGAGCGTTGATTCAGGTCCGGGCCTACCGAGAGCTCTGCTATATTCAGATTTTTTTAAAAACAGATTAATAGAGTACAATTTGGTCTTAATAAACGGAGCCTTCCTAATGCACCTCTTACCAATATTCTTTTCAATCATAGCAGTATTTTCTCCGTTAATGTCATGGTAATTTGAATTGTGTTGACGTCAGACTTCACAAAAAGTACTCTTACTGTCAGAAGTGATCCTTTTAGGCCTTTTCAGAGAGAGCTATTTCTTAGTGGCTGTGCTGTTTCCAATGTCTTACAGTGACTTCGTTTTAAGAAAATAAAAATAAGTGGGTGTTCTGTAATCACCTAATTAACCAGTTTCTATGTGCTTTCATACACAAAATAGGGAGTAATTTAAACTGGTGAGCGACCAGAATTCATAGTGTTTTATTAAATAATTTAAAATTGGGCAGCCATTTAAAAAACTCTTATGTCTTTAAAACGTAACTGACAAGAAGTGGACTATTCTGAGGTTAATTGCGGAACAACACAGGTTGTGAAGGTTACCATCAGTGGTATTTGGCGCATGGAAATCCTTGGACCTAAGATGAGGGCGCAATCCTACTGTATGGCTGGAAGAAGGCATCTCTTTGTATCAAACGAGATTCTGTTTTTAGATTAACCCGTTCTGTGTGTCAGCTCAGGGGGCCCACTACTTCATACCAGGCTGTGAGATTAACTCTTGATTAAAATATAAAAATAGATCTAAAATAAGTGTGTGAGACATTTGTTAGGAGGTCATTCTTTGCCTTCTGTCTGTGCGGGATTTTTAAAAACCTTTATCAGTAAAAATAGAAAATGTTATAGTTCTAAGAATTGTTGTAGCCATATGGTACAGCCATATAGCTACCCTCTCTCTTTTTTTTTTCTTATATACCTGCACAGTGTATTTGATGAGGTCCTCTTGCTAGCTCTTTAACTCACTTATTTTTTTTAAACTTTTTTTCTTTTTTAAAGATTTTATTTATTTATTTGACAGAGAGAGACAGCGAGAGCAGGGAACACAAGCAGGGGGAGTGGGAGGAGAAGCAGGCTTCCTGCTGAGCAGGGAGCCCAATGCGGGGCTCGATTCCAGGACCCTGGGATCATGACCTGAGCTGAAGGCAGACGCTTAACGACTGAGCCACCCAGGCGCCCCTCTTTAATTCACTTATTAACATTAGGAGAAGTTCTCCAAGCAAACAAAGGGCAACTAATCTGACCCTCTTTGCAAACAGACTAGAAGCATCTGCATTCAGGAGATAGACCAGGGCTGGATTTCATCCTAGACAGCCAATGGAAACTTCTCTAAACAATAAGGTTTAAAAATAAAATCCTTTTGAAGTAGCAGGGCTGTCTCTGCTCAGGGAGAAATAAAAAGTTAATAAGGCAACATGGTGGGTCCACCGATGGTGTTTATAGAACCATTTAAGAAGCAAAATATAACCCCCTTAAAATATTTTTTTTACATTAGTTATAAGGTTCTTTTTCTCCTCTCCCAAGAGTAGAGAAGTAGCATTTATTTGGGATGTGTGAGAGTCTTGCTGGAGCAGATATCACAGTCTAAGTACAGGAATCCAGAAGGGCTGTCCAGAAAGAAACGTGGGGATCACAGTGGACTTGGGTGTAAATGTGAGTCTTTCTTTGCTGGGATTTACATAAAACAAAACTGCAGGCTCTCTTGCCGCCCTAAAAGGCAGAGGTAGGGGACTTCTACTGTGCAGGGGTTGGCTCATTTTTTTTTTTTTTTTTACAAAGAGCCGGACGGAGACTGGGCTAGGCTTCGTGAGCCCGGCGGCTACGCCCTGCTGTGGTGTTAGCCACGGGCAATACGTCAGTGAATGGGTGTGCTGCGGGCCAAAAACACTCCATTTGTGGGCGCTAAGATCGGGATTTCATGTATTTTCTCATGTCACGGGACATTGTTACTTTTTTGACATTTCTTTCACGGGCCATACAAAGGCAAGCAGTGGCCTGGATTTGGCTTGTTACAGGCAAAGCCACTAGGCGGCCAGTTCCTGCTCTGGCGCACGCATAGATCATGTGTCCCCCACACACCTGGGGCTCTTCTGGGGACCCCATACGTGCTCAGTAAACACGTGTTCACTTAGCTGTCACCGAGTCAGGGCAAAGAGCAAGCCTTCAGCTGTATGGCACACACTTGACATTTGCAAGGGATTTATCTTGCAGTCTTCGCTAATCCCCCCATTCCAAGTCCCACTCTTGCAGATAATTTCCCCCATAAAATGCAGTCAAGTATAACAGAATAATTAAAGTGACCCTTTCAGACCCTTCATGATTCTATAAATATGGGGCGAAAGTCCTCTACTGAGTGATTAAAAGAAATTCTGCCCCTGAAATCCACTCTCTGTCACATTACATCATTGCTATGATGACACGAACGATGGACTCACCTCCATTGGCAGAACCAACCCGTAGTGCTAACGAGCGACGACGGTAGCCGCTCCACCGTACAGCACCCGTGCTTGCCGAGGAGCAGAATCAGACCTCCCTCTCAGCAGGTGGGCCAGCCCGAACAGCCCCGAAAGTCCATCGTGATAAGCATCACACATATAAAAGAGCGGAGAATAGTAGGCTGCTTCAGGAAGCAGGTGGTAGGCTGGGTTTGGGCATGACTGTTGCCTTCCCAGGGCCGTCAGTGGCTTCCTCCTAGACTTGATCCTCCACGTGGATACATTTGGCATTTATGGCTTAGCCAGATTTCACCTGGTTTTGTGTCTCTGGCCCTGGAGGTTGTTTTCAAATGTCAAGAGTGTGAGTAGGAAATGCTCTCATGCTAAAGATCTGCTGTACTTTATATTGGCCAGAAGCAGAATTTTCTGTCCTGTTTTGGTCACTATATTGTAGAAGAACACAGACATGCTGGAAATGGTCTACAGAAGAACAACAAAATGATCAAAACGATAGACGGTAACATCTGTAGAAGAAAACTGAAAGAAATCAGGATTGTCTCATCTTTGAAAGGGAAAGTGATTCTTGCCATCAAATAAAGGCCTTTTTCTTTTAAGGAGAATTCATAATTTTTTTTTTTTTTTTTTTAGCTGTGTGGAATACTTGATTTGTTTTTAGATTTATTTATTTATTTGAGAAGGAGAGCACGAGTGGTGGGGGCAGAGGGGGGGTAGAAAGAGAGAGAGAATCCCAAGCAGACTCTGTGCTGAGTGCAGAGCCCGACATGGGGCTCGATCCCATGACTCTGAGATCATGACCTGAGCCAAAACCAAGAGTCAGACTTTTAAGGAGATTTTGATTAGACATTGCAAACAGAGAAGTAAGGTGCATAAGCCTACATGAATTGGTACCATTGGAGAAGAAAAAGTTGACCACAGGGGTGTGGCATCTGACTCCTGGATATTAGGTGGCTGATTGGGTTTTTTTCTTGAAGTTTTTCCCTGCAGTATACTCCTTGATTCAAACAGCCCAACTGTGGGGCGCCTGGGTGGCTCAGTCGTTAAGCATCTGCCTTTGGCTCAGGTCATGATCCCGGGGTCCTGAGATCGAGCCCCACGTCGGGCTCCCTGCTCCGCGGGAAGCCTGCTTCTCCCTCCCCCACCCCCCCGCTTGTGTTCCCTCTCTCGCTGTGTCTCTCTCTCTCTGTCAAATAAATAAAATCTTAAAAAAAACAACAACAAATAGCCCAACTGAGACAGACAAAAAAAATAGGTACTGCTTTCTAGGGAATTAAATTTATCCAGAATGACGGTTATTCCAGCTTACTGATAGTGCTGTGGGCCTAGCATCAGCAGACTCCTTGTCCTTCACTTCATGTTGTACGGTGAGCCTCCAGAGGCTGTAAGGTAGTGAGCATTTTCGAGACTCTGGTGAGATCTCACTCTTCAGACAGAATGTCAGACTCTTCAACTGTATTTTCAACTGTCTTGTGAGATGAAGACTAATTGGTTTGACCTCACGCTGTCGCTTGTTGAGAGACATGAATCTTCGGCACTCTTCCTTGAATTCATTGATTTCATTAAACACTGTCTGCTTGTGTTTGCAAAATGTTGTAATTTCCCAGTGATTTCTTCGAACGGCAGCACATAAACAGATTTTTTGGAACAATGCCATTTCTTAGCTTTGATCTTGTGTATGAATCTTTATTTCCAACAGGTCTTTTACATTAAGTCCATTGAGCCACGGAAGATATCGACTTTAGGGAAAAGTAACGTGATCGTCACGGGGGCAAACTTTACCCAGGCATCCAACATTACGATGATCCTGAAAGGAACCAGTACTTGCGAGAAGGATGTGTGAGTTGACATAATAGTAATTTATCCTTGATAATATAGTAAAAAGCTCAAACTCATGCCAGAAGCATATCATTGTGACTATAATCTTTTCAAAGTATTGCCATGTGCCAAAGTGGGCCATTGGTCTGCATATTTTTTTTCTTTTCTTTTTTTTTAGTATCTTTTTTTATTATGTTATATTAATCATCATACATTACATCATTAGTTTTTGATGTAGTGTTCCGTGATTCATTGTTTGCGTATAACACCCCGTGCTCCATGCAGAATGTGCCCTCTTTAATACCCAGCACCAGGCTAACCCATCCTCCCACCGCCCTCCCCTCTAGAACCCTCAGTTTGTTTCTCAGAGTCTGTCGTCTCTTATGGTCTACATATTTGATAAGACATAATTTCAAGAAGCAGAATAATTTAAAGACCACATTTGAAGTTAATTGTGAGAGAATCTGTTTCCTCTTACCACCCAAAACCTCAGGGTGTTGCCTATTTGAGGTCTTGATTCATATCCATTAACAAAATCAAGTAGTTTGAGTAGCAAACATCTTCTTGAAGATGATCCCCTTAGAAAAATAGTTGCATACTTAGGACTTTGACAGTAAGATAGGACAGCTCTTCCAAGGTATCACCCAAAGTTGAAAAAAGAAATTTTCTGATCTGTTTTATTCTTTGTAGCCTTCTCTTCGTTGGATTGGTGTCAGGCTAAATAAACTAAATGGAACATGTATTAGTAGTTAAAGAAAAAAGACCAAACACCCCAACACAGATATCTGGTCAGTGTACCATTTGAATATCATTATTTCTATCACTTCTTTCCCCCTAACTCATCCTTTCAATGAAACTTTGAGAGAAAATAATTTTTCAGTGTCTCCCTGACATCCTTGTGCAAATGTTACCCCCAAGAGAGATGTCATAATAATAACACAATAGATAATTTGAGTTTTCTGCTTGTTAGCCTTTATAAGTTTGGTTAATTTGAAGTAAAAGACATCACAGTCTGTATGAAGTATAACACTGAGCTCGTTCTCATCATGGAAATGCATTGGAGACAATGTGCTGAAGCGTGGTGTTTTGGTTTTTAACTACTACAGCAGATTTGTACAGCATTTTAATCTGCCACACTTATTTACTGAATTTTCTGTTTTAATTCATTTGCTGCATATAACTGCCATCCTCCTCCCCCTCCTCAGAGTAAATTTGGGGTGCCTGTCATCTTGATGGAGAAAGCTGTTCATGGGTGGCTCTGCTGTTTACCAGAATTCTCAAGCACACATTAGCGGCTATAGACATTTTTGTGCCGTTGATCCTGGCTAAATACCTTATTGTGAAAATCTTTCATTATGTGTAGCAAAATCTGTGAGGTTAGACACCTGTGTGTTCACTGAAAGGCAATCACCTTCACCGGAAAATAAGTTGGTGTTCAGAGCATTACCCTATTTTTGACTCTTTATGCTCTCATTTCAATTCCGAATGTGTCTTGAGATACTGCAGTTATTAAATTAAGTGACTCAGAGGCCTTTCTGCATGTAGCATTTCAGTAACCACATCAGAGTGGTGAACCCAAGTTCATGAGAAGTAAACATAATACCCAGTTAATCCTATATCTGAGTTCATGCCATAATCCCAAACTCTTTTCATATGGTATTCTTCAAATGCCTAATTATTCTGAAGGGAAAAATACAAGAATAATAGCAGAATGACCCACATTTCCCCCCTCTCTCCTTCCAAAATTTATAAACAAGTCTGGATTTTAATGATCAGCCATTTTGCGATGATTTCCTAGAGCGTGGCTCTGAATATAAAGTTTAGAATGTAAATCCGAGGTAGTGTGACTGCACACTGACTCAGATGATTTTTGAATTTGCCTTATTGTTAGGATTTATTGTTACTACTTAAAAGGTGTGTGTGTTAACGTTAATAATCATGCACATATCCTTTAGTAACAGTAGATTCACACGTAACATACTGAGCATTATTCAGTACAACCCAGCCTTAATGATTTTTTGCTTTAGAGGCTCATTGTAGACATGATGTACAGAGGAAGTGCAGGTTACAGAGGGAATAATGTAGAAGGCTTTGCTTTGACCCCTGAAGGGTGTCGAAGGCAGGTCCTGTGGATGTCAGAAGCACCCAGGATATTCCCAACTAATTTCTCGTCTGGAGCTCCTTGGGAGGCAGCTTCGCTCTGATGCTGATTGAACCCCGAGACCCCTGGATTCTTGGCACAGACTCTGGTCATGGGCTCTCTGCTCTCCGAATGGCAGAATATTCTATCTGCCTGGGATGGGGTTCTACCCTTCTACCGCTCAACTGGAACTTCTCTTTTTTTAAGCTTTCCATTACAGAAATTTCCAGTCATACCCAAGAGTGAAGAGTGCATCAAACTTCTCTGTACCCATCCTCCAGCTTCCAAAACTTAGCAACATTTTGCCACTCTCGTTTCGTTTTTGGAGGGGAGGGATGGATGGTGGCTAGAGTAAGCATATCGCAGATGCCATATCCTTTCCCTCACACACACTTCAGTGTATGTCTCCAGCAGATGAGGGTAGTGCTATTCTCATACTCAGCCAAATTAACAGGAATTCCTTAATATAACTTAGTACCCAGTCCATGTTCCACTTTCTGTTAGGACTTCTTATGGGAAATGGTTACATCTCCTTTCCCCACTTCTAAGGTAAATGCAAAAACATAAAAATGCAAAAACATAAAAGAGACATAAAAATGCATAGAAGAAAGAGGACCCCTGCCCCAGATGATGCCCACAGTGGTCAGGGGCCCCTGATGAACCAGCAGTTGCCTCCAACTGTTCTGATAGTTTGTGAACTGTTGCAGTTCAAGTAAAATGCATACACAGTCATGTGCAGAAGCCAACTATGCTAAGCGTCTGGGTCCTTTAAGAGTTGTTTTTCTGCCCTTTTCTAGGATACAGGTTAGCCATGTGCTAAACGACACCCATATGAAATTTTCTCTACCATCAAGCCGGAAAGAAATGAAGGATGTGTGTATCCAGTTTGACGGCGGGAACTGTACATCTGTGGGACCCTTGTCGTATATTGCTCTGCCACACTGTTCCCTCATATACCCTGCCACAACCTGGATCAGGTGCTTTCTAGATTCGTATTTTTCTGTCTTTGTGTTTAAAGGGGTCATGATCTCAGGGTTGTGAGATCGAGCCCCACATCGGGCTCTGTGCTGGGTGTGAGGCCTGCTTAAGATGATCTCTCTCTCCCTCTGCCCCCTTCCCCCCAGCCTGCTCTCTTTCTCCCTCTCTTAAAAAAAGAAGACGACGACGAAGAAGAAGAAGAAAAGGGTCATATGCATAAAAATCACGGATTTCACTCAAATATAGAAATAATAGTCCTATGTAAATTCCTCTCACAGACCTCCCCTTTGGATTTATTCCTAGAAAACACACACATACCTGACCAGCAGTTGTCCCTGTGAACACTGTGAACATATCCTGCTTTCCTCTGAGCTGTGGCTGCCAGGAAGCTCACAGCTAAAATGTGTGTTCATACTGTGGTTTCTCTTCAGATTGTATAAGTCTTTTGCCTTTTAAAATGTTCGTTTCATTGAGGTACCTACTCTTAGCTTACGTTTCCGGTACAAATACACAACATCTCACTCCTGCCTGTGACACAAAGCTTCTCTCCTACAACTTTCATTTTATAACCTTTCGAGTAAGCTGTTTTGAATAATTCGAGGAAATATTGGGAGCTATCTAAATGAAAAGCAGTATCTACATTTCAAAGATACTCCCTCAGAGAGAGATTGACATTCCAAAATAAACTCTTCCAGATGACTCCAATATATTAAAAAAAAAAAAAATTTGTCTGCCTAGTTGAATTTAAATTCACATTCGGATTTTGGAATATAACCCTAAAGATATTTTCATAATAAGAGATTTCACCTAACACAGCATGAAGCTGATTTTCAAAGTACTGTCTAGATGAAAATGTAGATGAACCTTTGTTTTAAAAAAAAAAAAAAAAAGAGAAAAAAACCAGACGCAAAACACTTCCAGTCCAGTGTTCAGAGGCAGATGTCGGGATTGGTTTCTTCCAAGGCCTCTTTTCTTGGCTTGCAGATAAATGGTCTCCCTCTGTCTTCACCTTGTCTTCCCTCTGTGACTGTGTCCCAGTCTCCTCTTTTATGAGGACACCGGTCATATTATTGGATTAGGGCCCACCCCAATGACCTCATTTAATCTTAATTACCGCTTTAAAGACCCTGTCTTCAGATACAGTCAAATTCCAAGGGACTGGGGGGTTGGGACTTCAACAGTTCTGCCTCTAACCGTGGCATGAGAAAAACTGAAATTTCCAAACCAAGCCTCTAGCATTGCACTCCCCACTCAGGGTCTAAATCCTTCCTATAAATAAAACCAAACATTGACGTGGCACTCCCTACATGCCTTGTGTGTTACATCTAGTAACTCAGTTAATGGTCACAAAAGGAATAGCAACAGCCCCTTTAGCAGAAGAGGAAACTGAGGCATAGAGCATTCAAATCGACTTGCTTGGGCTCCCAGGCAGTCTGGCCCAGGCTGCTGTGCTCCAAGCCACCAGCGTTCTGTTTTGCCATCAAATAAGAGGCTTCTTTATTATCTTTTTAATTGAAGTATAGTCGGCCTACAATATTATGTTAGTTTCTGGTGCACAGCGTAGTGATTCGATTAGGCTTCTTAGTGTCCAGTCACCTGTGCTGTTCTTAGCCCGTGACTCTGAGTTATGCCTGGGCGAGGGTGAGACTCTGCAGTCTGGCCATCGGCCGAGCGTGCTCGGCTCTGCTTTCTAGTAATGGCGACAGGCTGGCATGAGGCCAACTCGACCCTTCCCCCTCTTGTGACTGGTTCGGGGCTTAATGTTTTCCTCCTGCCCTACACAAATTGGCCACCTCATGCTCACCTCGAGGTCTTGTCATCCTGGCTGGGCCCGGCTGGTGCACAGAGCTGACGTTCCCAGGCTCCTGTACCCTGGAATGACCTACATGAACAGGGCGGGGGCGGGGCGGGGGAGGATTGAGGGCAGCCAGAGCTGTGGACAGCTGTTTATTTCACATCTAATGACCACTTTGCTTATATGCGATTATGTGCTGAGAATATGTGAAATCATTTGGCTTGGTTTTGGAGAGAGAGAACGTAGCTGTTATTTATATGGCCTACCAAATGGGAATTTATAGTTTTAATGTCATTTATAATTTTACCTTGTCCAAAATGTTCCCTATCTCCCTAAATAAAGTATAATTGGTAGGTTGGGAGTTTGATTTTGAAAATTGTTAGAGTGAAGTATCTTAATATAGATTAAACAGCAATCAAACAAAATTCTGTTTAGTGAAACCTTTTCAGGGTATAGCCGATGATCTGATTATATGTGGCAACACGACACAGCAAGGCTCCAAATTCTGTAAAAGAACTTGGGAATTTTCCTAGAATTAAAACGGGATCTGATCTGAATTTTTATATTTATGTATCTTAAAAACTATACATTTGTGGCCAGTATCATTAAAAGACTGCTAGAATTGTCCTGCATTGGAAATTAAAATGTATTACTTGGCTCTCAAACATAACTGAGTTTAATATTAAGTGTGAATAAAGTGATAGCTTTGTTCATAAATGCAAAATGCCTGTATGTTTACTATGAAACTCCTATTGTTGCTTTTTCTCTTTGCAGTGGTGGTCAAAATATAACTATCGTGGGCAGAAATTTTGATGTAATTGACAACTTAATCATTTCACATGAGTTAAAAGGAAACATAAATGTAAGTCTTCAGCTACCTTGTAATAATAGTAATTTTCAAGGATGATGTTGTTTTCATCACACGGACATCTCTTGGGGAATATCTTTTATTTCTGTGCCTTTGTGATATTACAAGCTGTTACCTGTTGGGGGATATACACCATCTGGGCTATAATGGAAATAATAAGACCTTCTCCTTGCGGTGGAGTATTTCCGACCGTGGCACGGAGGAGAGAGGAATGAGCTTGGCATGACAAGGCCTGCCATTTCCGCCATGTGGGCTTTGTAGGGAGGCACTTTAATGAGACAGTGTTTAGGAACACGTGTGAAAATGCCTTGTGAGGGGCGAAGGTGAGATGTCCAGAAGAATAGCAGTTCCGCGCAGTCGGTGGTGGAGTTCCCGTCGTGCCCACAGAGCTGTGGTGTGGAGGCCAAGTGACCTGCCCAAGTCCCAGAAATCTTGTCATATACTCCTGCTCCTGCTGTTGTCTGGCTTGGTCCCTTTCCTTCTGGCCTGGCGCCCTCTCATCTTGCGTGTCCCCACACAAGGGTCCGGTCCCCAGCCCTTGTCCACTTGCTGCCACCCACGGGAGTCACGGGAGGGCCTCGTCACACAAAATGATGCATTTCAGATACCGGCTGGGGCCTCCGAGTACACTCCTACACTCTTCTCGAATTCTCTCCCCATTCTCTCTTCCCCTTTCTCTCCTTCCTTAACGAGAGATGTGAAGGTAGCAGCCTCTCCGGGCCCCACCGGACCACTTCATGCCCAAGCTGGCTGGTCTGCCCGTGCCCACAGACATGGCCGTGCTTGGGACCAGTGTGGGTTTGGGCCTAGGCACAGACAGCCTTCCTGAGTCACCCTTACAGCCGCGTCATACACACATCCGCCTCCTGACACACCCAGCGCCAGTTCCAGGCCTCACCTTGTATCTGATTCTAGGCCCCGTCTCCACAGTGGAAACACACACCGTTTTTTGGTTCTTCATATTGCCAGAAATGTGAACGAGCTATCCAGGGCCAGACGGGTGTTAGGGGGGAAGGAGGTTTTGTTTGTCTCAGCCCCTTGCATCGGATCTTCCCACCTATGGCCTCTTCCTACTCTCTTTTCTTTTTCTTTCTTTTTTTTTTTTTTTTTTAAGATTTATTTATTTATTTTTATTTGAGAGAGAGAAAGAGAGCACATGGGGGTGCAGGGCAGAAGGAAAGGCAGAGAGAGAATCCCAAGCAGATTCCATGCTGAATACGGAGCCTGATGTGGGGTTCAGTCCCACAAACCCGAGATCATGACCTGAGCTGAAATCAAGTCCAACACTTGACCAACTTAGCCACCCAGGTGCCCCCCTGCCCTCTCTTTTTAACGCCAATATTAGAAAGTAAAAAACAGGTAAACTCCCACCTGACAAATTTTTTTCACAAGTTTTATTGCTCTTTGTTTTTTTGTTTGTCTGGTTTTTTTTTGAGATTTATCTTTAAGCAATCCATACCAAATGTGGGGCTCGAACTCCCAGCCCCATGGTCAAGAGTTGCACACTCCGCAGACGGAGCCAGCCAGGCGCCCCTTATTGTTCTTCTTTAAGACCTTTGTCAACCTCTTCTTTTCCAGAGGCTTTCTCTGTCCATCTCTCTGCACCCCTAAAAATGACAGTATTTATGGTCTTTTTTAAATAAATAAAGCTGTGAAGCAGGCCACACTTTCTGTACTCTTTCCAGCCTTCATGCTCTGCATTTTCCTGGGGGCCCACATTGTCCCTTTTGCTTTTGTTTCCCTGATTTCCTGTTAGGCCTGCAAAACCTTTTCCTCACTTGGGGTCAGTGACTTCCGCTAAGCGCCAGGGGACGTTCCCCGACAAGGAGGGATACAGCCAGCGGTGGTGTGCAGCTCCCTGCGGCCTCCCTGGGGGATGGTCCCCTCCCTGCCCGCATTTCCCAACCCACCTCGAGGGCTCGCAGGACACACAGACCCTGCAAAATCTTTGGTGCCGAGTGTCCCTCTTCCGCTAGGCTCCTTCTCTCTGCACATCCCTTCTCCATTGCATGACCTCTGGCTGCCCCCATTACCGCTAAGAGTGTTCGCAGTGATAGCAGCTAGGGTTCCTTGAGTGCTGACTGGGTGCCCGGCATGATTCCAAGCATTTCTGCACATGTAATCCCATGTAATTTAGCCCCCATTTAGTTTAATGAGCCCTCATCACATTTAATTTGATTTCGGGTTCATTCAGCCCCGTAAGGGGAGGGTAGTATCACTCTCCCCATTTTGCAGATGAGAAATTAGGAGCACAGAGAAGTTCGGTTGTCCGGGTCACCTCGCTCCTCCATCGCAGGGCTGGGGCTCGGTAATGAAGTTGTTAAAAATGCTCTTTTCTCCTCCCTCAGGTCTCTGAATATTGTATGGCGAATTCCTGCAGGTTTTTAGCCCCCAGTTTAAAGAGTTCAAAAGCACGTACAAATGTCACCGTGAAGCTGAGAGTCCAGGAGACCTACTTGGACTGCGGAAGCCTGAAGTATCTTGAGGACCCCAGGTTCACAGGGTGTCGGGTCGAACCTGAGGGGGACACAGAACTGGAAGTGAAAATTCAAGTATGTTTCTCACTTCCTTCGGGTGGGACACGCCCCCCGCCTTGATGGGCAAGGTGTGCTTGTATCTGTGGGTTCCCTTGGGTGCCCTGATTTCTTCATCTTCTCTTTGTTCTTCACAGAAAGAAAACGATGAGTTCAACATCTCCAAGACGGACATTGAAATCACCCTCTTCCATGGGGAAAATGAGCAATTAAATTGCAGTTTTGAAAATATTACGAGAAATCAAGATCTCACCATCATCCTTTGCAAAATTAAAGGCATCAGTAATGCGAACAGCATTGACACCTCTTCCAAGAAAGTTCGCGTAAGTCACCTGACACTCCTACCTGTTGGTTGTACCTTATTTGGGGCCCTTCCTCGGTGACACTGATGCCAGAATGGCATCTGTTATGGATCTTTAGATCTTCGCTTTAAATAGCAGATAAACAAAGCTGCTGTTGCAGACGCAAGCATAATTCCTCCAAAATAGCAGGTGGAATCCATCCATGGGCCCATTCGAATGTCAAAGCACTGAACACACCATTGTCTATACTACTAATGAGTCTTGATAGTTTTGTTCTAGCCATACATTTAGACTGTAGCACCTGCACACAGAATCTCTAGACCACGGACGAATGAGCTATCATTCTTTTGCCAAATGTAGGGATGACATGTCTTAGCGGAAACCCAGCACATTCAGAGTAGCGTCCGATTCTGATGGAGACCACATGATCTCTGGGCTGTGGGCTGCTTCCTCGGTCATGGAGTCATGCTTGCCACAATTCATCTCCTCCTGACATGTTTGAGGGTCCCATCAGAGGTATATTTATGTCCCACAATAAAGACGTGAGACCCTTGGGAACAGAAACATATTAGAAGTCTTTCTTTATGGTGTTCATGCCATATGAGGCTCTCCACAGTCTATCCCCCCCCAAAATGCTTTATGATTTGTAGTCATAAATATTGAATAAAGGTCAAGAAAAAAGAACATCAGACTGTAAGACCAAAAAAAAAAAAAAATGTATTCATGTCCCAGCTGCACCAGCTAATAGCTGCATGGCCTTAGGTAAGTCGCTTGGCTTGGCTGAGCCTCCAGTGGTCCATCTGTGTGGTAAAGATGGTACTAATTATTATCAAATCAGTCACGACAGCTGAACTCACAAGTGCCCCCACATGTCACACCGGGTGAGGAGTGTAACGCTAGCAATCTCTAGTCGTGAAATGGTCCCTGAGGTCCTCTTCCATGATGGGAACACAGCGAAGAAGAAAACAGACCCCACGTTCTGCCTTTGTGGGGGTTACCTAAAGACACATGGAGTGAAGAAAGTAAATGAGAACGTGTGAGGTGGTGGTGATCGCCATGGAGAAGCATGAAGCAGGGACAGGCAGTGCTGCAAGGTGTGCGAGGGTGGGCAGCCAAGGTCTGTCTAGGAAGATGACATTTGAGTAAGGACCTCAAGGAGGAGAGGGAGTGAGCCATGGGCTCTCTGGGGTAGAGGGTTCTAGACCTGCAGGTTGCAAAAGTCTTGAGTCAGGAGACGGCCTGGTGCATATGAAGAGCAACAAGGAGGCCAGCATGGCTGGAGCAGAGGGAGCAAGGGGGAATATTCAAGGAGGCTGGAGAGTTACTGGAGGGAGCAGGGAGCTGGGCACCTGGGTGGCTCAGTCGGTTAAGCATCTGCCTTCAGCTCAGGTCATGATCCCAGGGTCCTGGGATCAAGTCCCGCATCGGGCTCCCTGCTCAGCGGGGAGTCTGCTTCTCCCTCTGCCCCTCCTCCCTGCTCATGATCTCTCTCTGTCTCTCTCTCTCTCTCTCTCTCTCTCTCTCAAATAAATAAATAAAATCTTGGGGAAAAAATTAAAAAAAAAAAGGAACATGTGAGCCATTGCGAGGGCTTGGCTTTGAGCTCTGGGAAGCCACTGGAGAGTTTTGGGAGGACTGCCATGAGCCACTCACTCAAATGATGAAGTACATTTAATCTTCACGACAACCCTACGAAGAGGCACTATCTACATCCCACTTTAGAGATGAGGAAAGTAAGGAAAGGATGGCTGAGTTAAGCCTCTAGGGCAAAGAGGACTCAGTTCTAAAATCTCCAGGTATAGTCCTGTGCCCCTCAACTGTGACATATCTGAAAATCAGGCACGGTGAATGTTCTCAATGTGCTCAAGTTCACACAGCCAGTCTGCCTGAGCTGGGACTTGAATTCATATATCCTACCTAGCTTGTCACCTTTTTGTATCCTGGGGAAAACGATTTGGAGGAAAAAGTGTGTACATAAATGTGGTGCCCAATTCAATTGAGTCTAATGACTTTCTGTCCCATTAGGTCAAACTGGGAAACTTGGAGCTCTACGTCGAGCAGGAAACAGTTCCTACCACTTGGTATTTTCTGATTGTGCTTCCTGTCTTGCTAGTGATTGTCATCTTTGGTGAGTGCCCTGTTTGATTTTGTCAGAGAAATGATTCCCTGGGGCCTCTCGTCAGGCAGGCAGACTCTCAGCTTTCAGGGGCTGTTTGCCTCAGTTGAGTACTGATGGGTAAAAACCCAAATCACAACTTTGGGAAAGGAATCATAGGTACACGTTGAGGGCTTTCTAACCATTTTTTAGGATTCCTCCTCAATACAAAGCTGGATTGCAAAGATGGCGTCTTGTTTGAGAAATATAGTCCAACTCACTTCCCCAGTACTGTGAATGGCGATTACAAATGTCCCATTTATGTTATTCCTTCAGAATTCCTCTGGCATTTTGGACTTTCACAATCTGGTCATCTCCTCCTGCCTTCTCACCTCACCAAACACCACCCCCTGCTCCCACCCCAGCTCTGCTTTTCCTGGCAGAACTATGTTTTAGAAGCGTGATATGTACCATCTATTAAAATATCGCAAGGCTCATCCGAGCACGATGATCCCAGGGTGGTTGCTCGCTGGCTGAATCCGGCCCAACAATCTGTTTTGTTTGGCCCACACAGCATTTTTTTCTTAAACTGTGAACTAGTTGATGGCATTTTAAAATTAGGTGGGTCACCTATGTTGTATACCTGAAACCAGTATAACATTTGTGTCCACCGTACTTCAGTTAAAAAAAAAAAAAAAGTTGATTCACATTTTTAAAAATATCTCTTGAAAACTTGAAAGCTCTGGATCATTGGATCTCCACTTTTCCATAGCATCAGTTTCCTGGAACTGAATAACAGCAGCCCCTTGAGAGAGCATGTGGGTACTGGGGTTTTGCTGAAGTCCCCACCACTCCCTGTTGTCTCCACCTGGGCCACGTGACTCATCTGCCTTCCTGGTCCCTGTAGCCATTTAGTGTGTGACCTGGTTCTGAGCAGCTTTTCATCCAAAGTCTGGTTCCTCTTGTCCATCTCAGAAATAGAACTTCTCTCCACTAACTAAGAGAACACTTCACATACGTTGATTTAACACAGCCTTTGCCTCTCCAGTGCTCTCTGTTACTGGTTGCTACTGTTTCCTTCCATGCACTCCTTCATTCATCCACCCCCGCATCCACTTACCTTGTGTCTATGAACACATGTTGGGTTCCTGATAACTGGGCAAGCCTCTGGAGCTGGAGAGCATGAGGGAAGGCTTGGCCCTTTCTCCTGGTGGGTTCTCAGTGCAGAGAGGGAAAGACTTCTATGTGTGATTAGCTGGCCCAATGGAATGAATTCATTTTGCAGAGGCCCTCTTTTGCCCTGCTGATGATCATTTCAGGTATTTTCTTGGGCTTCTTCTCCAGTTGACCACCCCTGTTCTATAGCTGGAATCCAGAATTGGGCTTGATATTTTAATAATGTCCTGGCTGGCACTGGCTTCAAGTAAGGAGATTACTTATAAATTCTAAATGCTGAGCTCTATTTTGAGAATCCGCTGGTGTTAAGCAGCTGTAGACACCAGTCTCCCCATAGAGTCCTCTCCACTTTGTGACTTACTAGAAGCCTCTGATCTCTTCCTGTGCCGTGTGTGACTCACCCCTCCCATCCCCACACTGTGTCATAGAGACTGTGCTCTTTATGGTGAGGTGGCCTCAGTTTGACCCATGGCTTTGGCTTCATCGGTAGCTGCAGAGCCCTTTAAAATTTTCATCCCCTTCTTGCCGTGATTCCAGGCCAGCATGTGTGACCAGCAGCTTGAGCAGGTGTAAAGTGTACAAATATTTTAACCCATCGGTCACGTCATGAGTGAAAACACGAAGCACCCTGGCCTAGGCCTGCCACCTTCTAAACATCCTCACTGTGTCTTCCCCTGGAGATGTCAGCCATCAAAAACCCACTGCTGGATGGATGTGGCTGCCTCATTCCCTTTGCCTGCCCTGAGCCCGTGTAGCCTGAAGTGTGGCCCGAGGAACGCTAACCCCAAATCACGCTCCTGGAGAAAGGGGTTCCGTGGTCACATAAATTTGGAAATCACTGTGCGCCTCATCCTTTTTTGAAGATGCACATGCATGTTATGGTGAAGACTGTTGACTTTGTGAAATGGTCCAGTGAAGAACCCTACTGAGTTTTGTTTCCTCCAGGATCATTCGTATCTACTGGTAGTGGGTCCTTTTATCACGAAGTTGCTGTTAAAGGAGGAAAACCTTTCCAGAATAATAATGTAGTTGACAGTTGTTGAATGTTCTTTTTAAAAAACAACTTCTGAATACTTTCTGTGGGTTGCTTCTTGCAGTCCTCTCAACATCACAGTGAGGTGTGGGCCCTTTGACAGATAAGGCAGCCAGGCACAGAGATGCTAAGGAACTTACTTGAAGTCACACAGCTCATAATTGGCAGAGTGGGGATGTGAACCGAGAACCAAGCCTGTTCAGGGCACTGTCTCAGTAAGAAGCACAGTTAGAAGCAAGACGAAGTGGGGAAAGAAGCCATGTCCCAGATCCGAGGGCTCATTGTGGACCTCTCCACATATCAGCCAACTTGATCTATGCAAGTCTGGTTTACAGAGCGTGGATCTGTGATTTCCTTCTGCAATTGTGGCTCAACTTTATTTCTCCAGGGATGTTTAGAAACATTGAAAAAAGAATGGAACAATATCAGCGGCCTGTGGCTGCAGGGAAACGTGGCTTATTTCATTACTTTTCAGCCAGCTGGGATCTTTGGTTACAAGTGGAGGTTATTTGATTTAGTTTTTACTTTAAGGTGGGTAGTTTTTTGTTTTCCTGTTGCACTTTAGCATCTTCCTCTTTAGAGTGACTCCTCACTGGGAATTTTTCCTTTTATAAATTCCACCTCTTAAATGCTGTTCTTTCTCTCTCTTCCTCTGTCTCTGTCTCTCTCTCTCTCTGTAAAAGAAATGTCAAGGTTGGCTTTGTTTTCCTTTTTGTTTTTTAAGTTAACGTGTCAGTCTGACGCTAGATCTCTGTCTCCTCAGCGGCCGTAGGGGTAACCAGGCACAAATCGAAGGAGCTGAGCCGCAAACAGAGCCAACAGCTGGAGCTCCTGGAGAGTGAGCTCCGGAAAGAGATACGTGATGGTAGGCTCCAAAATTTTATTTGTGGAAAAACAAGCCTTTTTTTATCATCTCCTCTGCCCACCCCCCCCCCAAATGGAGCTGGCCACAGTAATGAGAACTGTTTGTATAATAGAAGACATCTGAGCGGCAGGGTCTAGGCCTGGCTCTGTGTTTATTCCAGCCCTGCTCTGCAGCCAACCAAGTAATTATCTATTGTTTCTTCTTTAATGAAAACCAAGGTCATTCTCCGTGTTAGACAAAACAGCAGAAGATCTTATCCATTGTTTGTGGAGTTAAAATATTGCTCTTGGGATTCTGTTTTACAGGCTTTGCTGAGCTGCAGATGGATAAATTGGATGTGGTTGATAGTTTTGGAACTGTTCCCTTCCTTGACTACAAACATTTTGCTCTGAGAACTTTCTTCCCCGAGGTAAAAGAGCATTGATCATATTCCTAAGGTTGAGTCTTGAATAATAATGAAGGTGCTTGTTGCTATCGCCAGAAGAGGTGTTTGCTTCCAAGGCAGCTGTAGATAGTGTGCTTGGTACGAAATAAGGGCTTAAGCCTGAGCAGAGCCGGGAGAAGGGTAATTATTAATTGGATTGATTAGGGTATAAAGCAGTGATGGGTCATTGACGATTATTCTTTGTCCACTAACAAAAACCTAGGAGGGACAGAAGTTCAGAGTGATGATTTTTGTTTTATTTTACTACCTGTTTAGAGCTGAATTTGTAGTTGGGAAGCAAGCTAGTTTATTTAAAAATCAATAAATTGTGGGCTGGCCAATTTGTTGTGTTTATCTGCATGACTTCCATTGCAGCTACTAGATTATTCACTATTATTTCTCAATTGGAAATGAAAAGTACTATGGGCCGAGAGGGAGGGAGGGAGACATGTATAGACTTTGAGTTGATAGCAGCCATTTTTTGCAGTGTTGAGTTCTTAATGGTTCTCTCCAGCAGTTGTTCTTCTGCTGATCAGCCCATATCATCCTCATTTCACAGAAATATCTGCACGAAATGATTGATTAACCCATCCTGGGACTCCGAGGAGCAGTCTCCTTTAATCCTTTGGGTTTGCAGTCTCGCTCTGTTCTGATGCCTCCATCTTCTCCCCTACCCACTCAGCCTTCCTCCTTTACACTCCCAAGTCTTGAGCAAAGGGCACTCATCTGCCTGTCGTCACCTCCACATCCTGATGCTCCGGCTTCACCATGCTGCCCTTTTTTGTCCAGAACAGGTGACCACAGAGGGGCCCAGCCTCTGGAACATCAACACAGATGATCATATTTCAATCTAGACTTCTAAGCAAAGCCAGGTCAAAACAGAGCTGGTATCACCTTACCAGAAGCTTCTCAGCTACATTTGGCCAGAAGCCTAGAGTTCAGAAACACAGACACATGCAGTAAGCAATTTCCAGTTTCTCTATAATTCTAGAAGCAGACACCATGATATGTGATGCTGTGTCTGGAGGTTGGGATACCTCCATAAAGCACCCGCCATTTTTTTTTTTTTTTTTTTTTTGGTCCAAGACTTACTGTTGTAAATCAAGGAGGCTAGAAGGCTATAAATAAGACTTCAGTTTTTTGTGCTTGTACAATACACTTTTTTAAACTTCTCCTCCAAGAGTGCCAGGCAGCAAGACTTGTATTTGCCACCTCATTTATCCATTTCTACAGCAGAACACCACCTAGGGAGGGAGGTCAATTCCCTGAATCAGGATGACTATGCAGGACATTGCGAGTCCTGTTTCTCAGCTATCTGAGATCCCCATTAAGAATTTAATAGCAATAAAACAACAGAGATTTCTACCATCAACCTGAGGCTTGTGTGGGCTTTTACAGTCAATGATTGCTCTTGAGTGCTGAAGAGAGTAATCTGTGGCCTGAAAAAGAAATTGTCCTATATTCTAAATTCAGTAATCAAGAGCAAGATAAGTGATGAATGCAAAAGACACTATTGCAAGTTGAGTGTTTTGAGGGGGGAAAAAAAATCCCCAGGAAAAATGCTGTATTATTTTAGAAGAGAGATACAGTTGACCCTTAAACAACACAGGTTTGAACTGCATGGGTCTGCTTATACACGGATTTTTTTTTTTTTCAATAAAACAGTACCGTCCTATAAATGTATTTTCTCTTCCCTATGATTTCCTTAGTAACATTTTCCTTTCTCTAGCTCACGCTACTGTAAGAATACAGTATAGAATACAGAAAACTTATAAAATATGTGTTAATTGACATACAAAAGATGTGTTCATTGTTAAGGCTTCTGGTTAGCAGTAGGCAATATATTAGTAGCTAAGTTTTGGGAAAAAGTTACATGCCAATTTTCGACTGTGCAGAGGGTCAGCGTCCCTCACCCCCCTCCGCCGCATTGTTCCAGCCAAACAGACTTAACTCAGGGTTATGAATAATCTTGAACAGCAACTGGGAAAACCAGGAAAACTCAAGTCAGTAAAGGAGAGGACCAGGAAAAACAGGCATAACTATCAGAACCCTAGCAAGACCTAAGTTAAAATTGAATTTATAATGAAAGATATAGAGGATGGAGGAACATAGTCTGTGATGACAGCCCCAGCTGAAATGCTTTCCAGGCTGCAGATCCGTCCTTGTGTCAATTAGGCCCTTTACTGATGGATCAGGGGCCACATCCTCTAGGCCCGGAGGTCGGCTGGTAGACTGAGAACTTGAGCAGTCAACACCTACCAGACAACAGTAGACAGAACCAGAGGAAATTGTAGGTTCACAGAGGCCAAGATATTCCCAATTCCTGGCTCTGTACCGGGTTTTTGGCTCTCCAAAGCCTGCCTTTTCATTGTATTGACTGCATTGTTTTGCTGAAAATAGGAGGAGAGATAAGGGTGAGCAGTGCATCCTATCTCCTAGAAGAGGGAAATTTAAATGAAAGGAGGAAGGAGCTTTAGAAAACAGGGAGCCATGGTGGCATTTCTCTACTTAAGGTCAGGAATCAATCTGTTTAAAATGTCTGTCCATATCAAGTTGGTTCTGCAGAAAAATGTTAGGAACTAGAAAATGCAAACCCAGGGTATGATTTTTCTGCCTATTACTAGGGGAGAATATGACCAAAATAGTTTGAGGTCTTCTGCTTAGGCTAACAGATTTGAAACTATAAAGCAAAAATTCTCTGCAGAAGAAATTTACTTTAACGAGGTATAAAAATAGCCTAAAGTTTCAAATATTACCCCCCAAAAAGAGGAAGAGAAAAACCTGAATGTTCAAGTTTTTATTTTCATTCTGTTGACTCATTTAAAGTGTTACTCAGCATGCTTTTAAAATTTAATCCTTTAATTCCAAGAAGACTTATGATACATTAAAAAGGGAAACTCGAATTGAAAAGTTTATATCCAGGAGCAACATAGCATAGCACATAAAAATAATTGTAGAAACCAGCAGGACAATAACTTTGTGATCTAGTTTGCCATAAATTAGTGATGAAAGCAATAAACATAGCTGAGATAGAACTTACTGTGCACATGTGCATTTTCTTTTCACACCAAGCTTAGGAGATGGGAGTCATGAGCAATGTCAGGCACAGAGAGGTTACGTAACTGTCCAAAGTCATGTGACCGGTAGGTGATAAAACCAAGACTGAAACCCAAGTAATTTGGCTCCAGATTTCTAACTGTTAACCACCCAGCTCACCCCGTCTCCATAACATTGTCTCTTGAGACAGTGGATACTACTAAGCTAAGGCTTGTAAAAACTTATGGACACAACTCAGTATTTATCCCGAGAGGGCAAACTGCTTAAGGAGGGATCTGCACATTCGCATAATTTTCTTTACCACTTCTTTCACTTTTGAGTCTGTTCTTTGAAAGTGTGAGATGCCTTCCTCTACCAAAAATGGGACTGATGCAATGATAATGATTCTTCTTAGAGGCCTTCAGAATTCACTGGTGCTTCTTGAGAGCTGAATAATTATTTATTATGTATTAGAGGATATAAAATGAACATAAGCCCAGGGGCCCTTCAGATTAGCAAACAGTGTCTCTACTTTATTAAAACGGACTTGGGTATTGTAACAAAAATACACTATTCATTTCCTTTGGATGTTATGAATAATAAAAGTGTCTCCTTCCTCTCAGTCAGGTGGCTTCACACACATCTTCACCGAAGATATGCATGTAAGTCTCTAAGTTTTCATTTTTAGCCCATGACTGCCTGACTTTCATAGTGTCCTCATTGTCATCATCATCTCCATTATTGAATTTTTGTGAGTTTTTTGGAATCATGGATTCAATATTAAATCATTGTCTTGGAAAACCCATTGTGGATCTACCTCCTAACTTTAAGTTTCTAATATCATATCATATCATATCATATCATATTCATTTTTTTTTCCAGAACAGAGATGCCACTGACAAGAATGAAAGTCTCACAGCTTTGGATGCCCTGATTTGTAATAAAAGTTTCCTTGTTACTGTCATCCACACCCTTGAGAAGCAGAAGAACTTTTCAGTGAAGGACAGGTATTAGTCAATTTATTTATATTTTGAAAGTCTTTAAATAGGGAAAATAAAAACGTGAGCTCCTTATTTCCAAACTGCAACCTGAACCTCGTATCCACATCCCTTGAAAATGTGGATTTATCCAGAGGCTGTTTGGTCGGGGTCATGAGGCCATGATAGCTCTATTTCGGATCACACGACCCCAACACATATTCTGTTTTGAAGACACACACACATACACTACCCCACTCCAAAAAAAAGCCCTGAAAAACCCCAGCACCAAGAAAAAACATGAGTCCTGAATCAAAAAAGCAGAAGTGCTATTTTCTATCTTTAAAACACCTAAACATTTGGGAAAGACATTCACTTCTTGTTTACCACTCTAGTTTAAAGTCTAAGAGCTGAAAACACACAAAATGTCCTGGGGTGAACACTGGTGCATGGTTTTTATGAATTGAGGACAAAGGTGGTTGACCTAAGACATTAAAAAAACACACATGCCCACAGGACAGCACCCCACTGCCCCTCAGCTTCCGTGGAAACTCCCATCAACATCAACTTAGCCACGGCTGATAGTTAACCTCATTAACTGAGGCTCTTTTTTTATGTGCTTCTTTGTCATCTGTGTATCTTCTTTTTTTCTCTCTCTCTGTTTTATTGAGATGGAATTGGCATATAGCACTGTAGAAGTTTAAGGTGTACGGCATAATGATCTTCCTTACACCTAGTGCAAAATGATGACCATAATGAGTTTAGTTAGCAACCATCATCTCATACAGCTACAAAAAAAAAAAAAGAAAAAAATAAACTTTTAAGATTTACTCTCTTGGAACTTTCAAATTATGCAGCAGTGTTAACTCTAGTCACCATGTTATACATTACATCCCTAGCATTTACTTGTCTTTTAATTCGAAATTTTTGCATTTTGTCCACCTTCCTCCAACTCCCCCTCCATTCTCCACCTCTGGTAACCATAGATCTGATCTCTTTTTCCATGAGCTTGGTTCTTTTTCTTTTTTTTTTTAGAGTCCACATAAAAGTGAGATCATACAGTATTTGTCTTTCTCTGACTTTTTCATTTAACATAATGCCCGCAAGATCCATCCATGTTGTCACAAATGGCAAGATTTCATTCTCTTGTGTGGCTGCACAGTATTCTGGTGTGTGTGTGTGTGTGTGTGTGTGTGTGTGTGTGTGTGAATACACATATACCACATTTTCTTTATCTGGCCATCTGCCAGATAAAGACAGTGGGTTGTTTTGATGTCTTGAGTATTGTAACCAAGGCTCTATTTTTAAATAGGTGTCTGTTTGCCTCCTTCTTGACCATTGCACTGCAAACCAAGCTGGTCTACCTGACCAGCATCCTGGAGGTGCTGACCAGGGACTTGATGGAACAGTCCAGTAACATGCAGCCTAAACTCATGCTAAGACGCACGGAGTCTGTGGTAGAAAAACTCCTCACAAACTGGATGTCTGTCTGCCTTTCTGGTTTTCTGCGGGTAAGTGTCACCTCCCTTGGCAGTGTCAGAGGTAAGACAATAGGTGGTTATTTTTAGCTGATGTCTCTGCCAGGATGAGTCCTGAGCACTCCATGGTGTCAGCATTTAACCCCTTTTAGACATGGTCCTTCCTAGGAGCACATGGAGGGGAAGATAAAATTGTTTTTGCTGTAACTGGCCTATGCAAATGCAGTTCATTTAGACTTTTTTCTCTTTTAAACAATTTTATTGCGGTAAGAACAATTAACAAAAAGCCTACCCTCTTACCAGATTTTTAAAGGGTCCAAAACAGCGTTGTTATCTGTAGGCACAATGTTGTACAACAGATTTCTAGAACTTACTCATCTTGCATAACTGAAATTTTATACCATTGACTTTTGAGCCCATCTTGACATCATTAATTGACAACCAGAGCCCAGGAAATGTGCTGAGTGGAAGGCGTATTTCAGATTGTGAAGAGAACGCGATGCTTGCAGGGTCTCTGAAGCATCTTGGAAATACCCATTTACCTACTAATACTGGAAGCTAATTAAACTCAGTTCTAACTAGTCATTCCACATTATTCCATTTGTTTAGCAAGTCCCCAAAGAGCCACCCATCCCTCGAGTTTCCTTTGTTGGAGTTATTGTTTGAATGTGGTTGTAGTCTGATTGAATCTTAAAATTATTTTTGAATGCCAACTTGGTGTAGATCCCGTGGGTAAGGAAGTGGGTCTTGGAGCCCACTGCCTGGTCTGCATCTGGACCCCGTCACTCACTATAGGAGGCTTCTGCACCTCTCTGAGCCTTGGGTTTATAACCTGGAGCCCTGGAAGAAGACTATCTTAGGGCCGCTCTGAAGCCTAGATGAGAAAATGGATGCAGTGGCTTAGCACCAAGTAAGCACTCCATAAATGTTGGCCGGTACTGTTCTAAAATATTAATAGGACAAGAAGAGTGTTCTCTTGAACCCGATCTTCGTTCAGCCCCTCTGAGGCCCCTGGTACAGAAGGTTCTTATCCTTCTTTAATTTCACCAGCCATCCAGATTCCAGCAAAACTGCATAATTGTGTATTTGTAGCTAGTTCCAAAATCTAATTAAACTTTGAATAAGATACACTGCTACGCCACAGGTTTTAACAGTGCTACTTAAGTTTAGATCCAAAAGCAGCACTTTAAATAGACTGTGCTTAGTTTAATGTTTAATGCAATCTTACAAGTAGATGCACAACATTTTTTTTTTTTTTTTACCAACGACTTCCTCTCCCAAGGCACTACCCATTTATTAAGATTAATGAAATCTGCCTTATTTTCTGTTTACTTGGTATAAATCATCATACGCTTTGGGGAGGTATTGAAGCAGTTATTTCTGGGGTGAATATTTTCGCTTTCCACCATCCTTGCTTCAGCCACAACGGCATCTAAACAGAGGTGGCGGGACCCACACCCAGTTCTGGGTCTTAGTCTCAAAAGTCTGATTCTTGCCCTACCAGTGCCACTGAAATCAGAAGCCCGGGGGTGGGGCCCGAAAATCCATGTTTGCCAAGCTCCTCCGGGTAATTGTATGTGCCTTACATTTGAGAATCCTGGGGTAGTAGAAAGAGCACTACACTAGGATTATTGGTTAGAAGCAGCAGGTTCAGGCTCTAAAGTCATCTCAGCTCCAGTTAGCTGTGTGTCTCTGACCCTTTTCATCTGGGCAACTGTTATCTACTCATGGAGTGAAGGGCCTAGTCACTGGTTTTAAATTTCTTCCCAGCTCTTTCTTGAGGGATCTTGTGGTTGGAGCCTTGCCCTTGTTGCCCTTGAGCCTTAAACGGGTGAGATGTTCCAAAAATCTGGGCCCTCAGCCCAAACGGCTCCCTCAAACAGAAGATTCTGGGTCAAGATTTTGCAGTGCTGATTCAAGAGTATCTTGAGCACTTGAGATGGTGAGGGGTGGCACGCTTACCAGGAGGAAGTGACTTTGAGCCGGCCAGAGATGCTTTCAATTTCTGTGGAAAAATTCCCGCTGGTGCAGGGGGTCTGACTTCCCACACCGGGTGCCCAAGGGGATGTGGGACTCAGACAGCCTTGGTCCTTCTGCCCTATCCCCCAGACATTTGCCTAGATGCCACTAGCTCTGTGACCCCCAGGTAACCTCCTCTTCAGAGCTTCCAGGGCTCTGTGAGTGAAGTAATAATACCAACTGCCTTTACTGAGCATGCCAGATATCATGCGAAGAGTTTTGTTTACTTTTTCTCACTGAATCCTCTCATTTGATCCTGTGAGGTAAGGATCGTTATGACCATTTTGCACTGGGGGGATTGGGAGCACTCGGAATGGATGTGCCTTCCACCAGATCCCACAGCGGGTGTGGGATGGCACCAGGGTTTGAGAGCTCCTAGCTACTACCTCCCCAGTGAGGCAGGCACCTTCTTATGGGCTTAGGGAGGATTTAGGGATGGAACGAGATCACAGGCGTGAAAGCCTCTGGCTGAGCCAGAGCCAGAGTCTAGTCTCACAAAGGAAAGGAAGGTGAAGGGGCCGAGCTTAGTTACCATCCCAGGAGAGGGAGGGCAGGCGTGGTCGTCCGGTCAGGTGCACTTGGCCACAGCCAGCCCACCCGCAGAGCTGAGTGTTCCCTGCTCTGTAAGACGCCTAAGCCCCCTGCAGGTATGACTGAGGACTCGTGTTCCATAGTGATAGAGAAACCTCATGGTTTTCGAAGCCGTCCCCCATATCAGAATCCCCTGGGAAGGTGTTCAAACCACAGATGCTCAGGCCTCGGTTCCAGACATTCTGGGTCTGTGGGTCTAATGGAGGGCCCAGGCATCTGAATTCTTCATGGGAGCCCCAGGGAATTCTGGCAGTGATCACCCAGGGTTAGAACCGTTTAAGACAAAATATCACTTCTCTCAGTCTGGTTGCACTCTGGAGAATTCTGGGGAATTTCTGACTACAGAGCCACTGAGTCTGTAGCTGCCCTTGCACATAGCCCGGCAGAGCCCACCTGGCCCCCAACTGCACCCTCGGTGGCCCATCCAGCCCACGAGGACACTCACCCCTGTCTCTGATGTGTGCTGGAGGGAAAAGGAGAAGTAGAAGTTCTGGGTTTGCAGTCAGGACATTACCCCAGGGGGCAGAGGGAAAGAGAAGAGAGCAGTGTGGTTGTGAACCACAAAATAAAGGAAGTTTCCCATAAGAATTAAAATGTTAGGTGCTAGTCCCAACACTCTCCCCACCTGGGAAATTTTCGAACATTCCACCTCTGTCCTACACTAAGGAAGAGACTCAAGGATATGTCAGCAGGGAAGAGAAAAGTGGTGACTATCCCACACCAGCTGTGGGATCTGGGGAAAATCACAGCTATTCCGTGTGCCCCAATGCCCGCCCTGTGCAAAATGGTCATAACGATACTTATCTCACAGGATTAAACGAGAGGATTCAATGAGAAAAGGTAATGGGAAAAGTGACGGGAAGCCAGTGGAGGGTGGGGTGGCAGAAGGGGGCCAAAGGAAGCCCTGGCACTGGAGAGGGCACATGTTCTTGCGGGGAGGGGATGGGACAGGCGGTGGGGAGGTGGGACGCCAGGAGTCTTACATGAGGTCTCCACTTACTTGGTCAGGGCGGAGCAGGGGAGAGAGCTAACGGAAGCCTCCTTTGCAAGCTGGGCCGTGAAGCTTGGCTGGAAACGGTCCTTCCAGCCTCAGTCGCTTGGCTGGCTTCTTCATCACGAAGGGTTTGACTTCTGGCCCTAGCTCTCCCTCTTCCACATATTTGGTTAATGTCCGTTGATTGTAGACACTGATTACCTGGCGAGTGTGCTGCTGCCGACCCAGGGCTGCATGCTCTGGGAGGCTTCTGGGGAAGCAGAACACACAAGCCTCCCCCGTGAGCTGCTCAGAGTCCACGCAAGTGCAGTGTGGCTACAGGTTTGAGGCATCTCACTGACCATGAGCAGGCGAGCACCGGTTGAGGAGCAAGTGCCCATGGCAGAAGTTTGGAGACAGACGCCATCGGGATGGGCCGAATCCCGGGGACAAGCCTTCGAGCAATGGACTTGGCTCCGGTCCAGGGAAGGGAGTTCAAGTGCATCAGTGGCCGTGTACCAGCCAAGGTGCACAGCCAAGGTGTCCAGGGGAGTCTGTGCACCCCCGGCTCAGCAAACCACAGCGAGCTGGCCGGGATGGCTGCAAGTTGCGATAACTAAAGGCCACTTCCTTCATTAGAAGCTCTTAACACCAAAAAAGCATCCTCCTTGGCAAATGTACAAAATGTTCTGACATTTATTCTGGTTACCAAGGCTAATTGTTGTGTATTTTTTAAAATGCCATTTATTTTTGGTTTGCTCAAAAAGGCAATTAAATATGAATGTAAACGAAGGTTAAACCTCCGCATCTACTCTAGGCATTAGCCAGCTGATGAGCATCAGTCTGCCATATAGAAGCTGAAACATAAAAGAACCATCCGCAGAGGAGTTCATGTTGCTGTTGACTGTAAATGCTGGGAGTCTGTGCGCGGGCACGGGCGTGCGTGCGTGTGTGTGTGTGTGTACGCGCGCGCGCGGGCGCGCGGGGGCGCGGGCGCGGGCGATGGAGAGAGGACGCGTCTCCTGAGTTTTGCACCCAATCCTGAGCGGAGCAGTGTGTATTTTCTTGGGAGTCTCATGTTGATTGTTAGAAAACACTGCCTCCTGCCTCCTGTCGCACTGCCATAAACTGAAACTTTTAACTCTTTGGAAAGTACAGTGGCTTCCGCAGACAGCTGACTGTCACTTTTGTGTCTCTTCCAAGGAAACTGTTGGAGAGCCGTTCTATTTGCTGGTGACGACTTTGAACCAGAAAATAAACAAGGGTCCTGTGGATGTAATCACTTGCAAAGCCCTGTACACCCTGAACGAAGACTGGCTGCTGTGGCAGGTTCCAGAGTTCAGTACTGTGGTATGTTTGTGACAAGCCTCCCCCCAGCCCCGGAAAGAAGCCTGGCTGGGAGCTCGGTGGCGGGGTGGGGGCAGGCGGGTCACTTAAAACAAAGCGATATCATTCCTACTGCGGGAGGCCTCAGACAATGAGTTAATTAAAAACAGTAGTTGATAAAATATTAACACGTGTTCACATAATAGATTTTAATTACTTGGGGGGGAGAGAATTGTAATGATGCCTGGGGTACTCATCAATTTCCAAAGATTTTAATATCAGGATAGCTTATAGCTTTTCAGCATCGTCAAAGGAAATGCAGAGCACTCCCTATTCAGCACTTATAATTGCAATCAGAATTTCTCAAACGGCTCTGCTCTGGAAGACAATGTGTGAAGATATATTTCAACCAAATTGAGGCCGTCTTATTTTAGAACGATAACAAGACAAATTCCACTGTGTTCCCCGTGCAGTATGACACCCTTACTTTATTTTCATGGATTAGTTACAAATGTTTGGTGTCCCGCACTTAATGTTCTGTGATCTCATAGATATTTTTAGAGGAACGCTGTAAATCACTACCAGGAAGATGATTGCCCGGCGGCCACCCATCCCCATCCCCCCACCCCTTCCCTTCCTAAAGGAAGAGAAAGACATTTCTTGCACATTCACAAGTTGTAGGGAGAGGGCCAAGCGTGACAAGTGTCTCCAAAATTACTTAGGCATTTTCTGTGCTTTTCCTTTCATAGAGACTGGGGAAAGAGATCGCTGTCATTTGGTTTGATCTTTAGCTTTATGGAGACTCGGGGCTTCTTCACAATCTTGTTAGTGGAGAAGGGGAAAAAAGACAGTGGGGTTTTGGTATGACCCAGTAAGGGGGCTGAGTTTCCTGTGGCTTAGCTCTGGAGGGCGAGACCTGTGGTATCATCCTGGAAGAATTCATTCCCTAATTGGAGAAGGCACCATGTCGCTGTGTGCTCTGGTGGGAGAATAGTCCAAGATCAGCTGTTTCCAGTTCTAGGTCACTGCCAGATGTAGTTTACCCTCCGCTGAAGACGGTACCCTGCTCAGCTGCCATCCACAAGCCAGGAGCCTGAGTAGAAAGTTAACATTTCTTATGTTCCGATTTCTGTGTATGTAACTGTCTGTGGCCAAGAGGAGGTGAGGAGCAGTGGTTCTCAAACTAGCCTGCAGCAGTGAAGAGCACAGACTCTGGCCGGGCACACTTGCAATCCGCCCCTGCCCATCTGTGTGACGTAGGGCGAGTTTCCAAACCTCCCTGTGCCCCAGGCTCCTCGCCTGTAAAATGGGGAGGATGATCACTGTGCGGGTTTCACGGGGGCATCACAGCGGTTAAGAGCATTGACTGCCGGGCGCCTGGGTGGCTCAGTCAGTTAGGCGTCTGCCTTCGGCTCAGGTCATGATCTCAGGGTTGTGGGATCGAGCCCTGAGTTGGGCTCCATGCTGGGCATGGAACCTGCTTGGGATTTTCTCTCTCTCTCTGTCTCTGCCCCGTCCCCTGCTCTCATGCACACACATGCTCTCTCTCGCTCTCTCTTTTTCTCTCTCTCAAAGAAATAAATCTTTAAAAAAGAAAAAAGAGATGCAGATCCAGACAGACCAATGCCCGGGTCTTCCGTCGGGACTGATGAAATCAGAACTGCTGGGGACGAAGGCCAGGCATAGACAGATGTTTCTTAAACACCCCAGGTAGTACCAACGACCTACAGCGTGCATGGAGAGGGCCCCTGGGTGTCTTGGAGAATGAAAGACAAACTTTGCAACAGGGCTTGTTGATACCTTTCCTTACGATTGTTGGAGGACAAATGCAGGGCCTTGGTCCCACCCCAAAGATGTGTATGCTTTTACTTTGAGACATTTTGGAAGGCCCACAGATTCCCAAAGAGAGACATGTGCGAGTGTCTGTAGGTTGGGAGAGTCACGTTCATGAAAACGTGAACCCCGACAGGAAGGAGAGGAAAGTAAGAGGACCAGACTGGGGGTGGGGCAAGAAGTCAAATGCCTGAAGCGACTTTGGAGGTTTGAGTCCTTTTTAATGCTTTACATGGCAGCACTTTTTCCGCCTTTCATTCTGAAACATTATTTATTTCACAGTCAGTTAAGACCATGTGTTTCAGATTTGTTAACTCTCAACTGTCATCAAAATGTTTCTTGATGTTGAAGGAATTCATGTTGACTCTTGGAGTCTTTTTTCCTTTACAGCCCCTGGGGAAAAGGCGAATGGGAAATTATGATTTTAGAAATCCAGATAAATCTTGCTTTTCAAATGCAGATTTGCCAGTAGACAGAGACTAGAAAAGGGGTGGGCCACTGGTTTCTAGGGGCCTTGCTTTGAAAATGATTTTTAATGCCTTTTATTGTACCTGTCTCAACCTGTCTGTTTCATGGTAGATGGTTATATTAGAACCTCCAGAGGAGGCGCAGGATCGGGGCCATGCTTGTGTGACAAAATGTTAGCAGAAGGTCAATATAAAAAATTTAAGGTTTTTCATTTCCTTTCAGGCAAGTTCCCCCAGTCTTAACCATCATATTACAATTTTTTTCTTCCTCCCCCTCCCTCTCCCCCTTTCTCCCTCCTCCCTCCCCCT